ATTATAATTGCATAGTGGTAACTGCCTGGAATTTTATACTTGGGGTTTTTGAAAGTTAAGTTGAGGTGAACATAATTAAACATAACTTATTCAAATAAGGACCTCATTTGCATAATTTATGAGAAAATGTCATGGCATTCTTTGTTAAGATAAGACTGTCTTTTGGTGGAGAAAAGATCAACAGATATAATTCATGCAATTGATGATCCTATTTGCATAATTAGGGGGATTAATATATAATTTCTTAATCATAAAAGCTAACATCATTTGGCGAAGGTATGAGATCGTGGAACTCTAGTTGTCATTCAGTTTGATTGCTTGAGGTTTACAGCTAAATGCTATTTCTTTTTCTAAAGGGTCCTCAGGCCACACCAATTTAATATCTTGGTTAACAGATTTTTCTAGAAAAATAATGGAGCGGGCGGGAGAAAAAAAAATACAAACAGATCTAGGCATCCTATTATGGCCCAAAATGGTATGATAGGAGCCATGAAGTCAACACACCAGGCTGGTTCAAAATTTAAACGATGAATTTTGAACTTTTAATGATACCATTGCATTGAAAGATGGAATAGCTGTAGAAAGTAGGAAGAAAAGGACTGTTTTCAACTGTTCAGGGCAAAATATGAGCATTTTGCAGTTGCAAATCAGAAAAAAATGAAGCGGGCGAATCCATTACCCAAGAAATTAAATTGGTATGGCCTCAGATGACAACATTTTCCAGAAGGTGTTTTATTGATTGGTCCATGATGCATTCTAAGGCATTACTGATGCATTGTGTTAATTTTGTTGACCATAAAAATTTTGTTATCATAAACGGCTACTCCAAAAGATAACCTGAGGGTGGACCTTTGACACCCCTCAACCCCCTAGGAGAATTTCTGGTCTTTCCCTATTAACTGATATGAATATGAGAGGTCTTAATTCTAAGTTGTTTTAAAGGCAGTTCATGACAGCTGGTCGGTTTGACATAAAACAGAAAGGTAGCTGTCCACAGGAGTTATACTGACAATTTTAAAACGATTGATATATACTAATATAATATTTGATATACTAATGTTCTGTAAATTGGTCTACAATTCAGTTGTTTTTAACTGCGAAGAACCAATAAATCCATCTTGAATCTTGAATCTTGATCATCATTGAAGTCAACATTTGTAAAATTCCTTGTAATGGGGATTTGTGCTATTCTAAACATTGGGTTATATTTCCCCCTACAAAGTTTAGTAAAATGTTAGAAAAATTATAACTTTACATTTCATCAGGTGAATTTGGAGCAAATATCAACATTGAATTTGTCAAATATATATGGGCCTTTGGCCTGAAGCAAAGAATACAATAAATAACGTTAAATAAATAAATGAGTAAAGTATGTTTTCTTGGTTTATATGTGTAACGCTTTTCATTGAGTCAAGATGTCATCAGTACTATCTTCCGTTTTTCCCTCCCATCTGTACTTGGTTTGTGTCAGGAACCATTTATTTGATATAGTGTGGCCATGTACAAAATGTAAATGATCATAGATCTCCAGGGACCGTTCATTGGTGAAAAGATAAAGGTGTAGTTCATACAAAATGTGCTCTGTTGTGTTATCGCTTTACAGCATATATCCTGTTGTTTGTAGTGATCAGTGCTCACCTGTACAGTGTTCTTTTTATGTCGCCTTTTGAAAAAAAAAACGATTTCCTATACAATCGTAAAGGAGCTTGAAGCTCCTTGATTTGAGTGAAGAAATTGCGTTATCAATTTCAGTTTCACTTGATCGTCAGAAAGACAATAAAAAGTAAAACGTAGTGAACGTACGGCTCTTGACCTATCACTGAAACCCGTCACTTTTTACAAGCCCGTGGTACATTTTTCCCGCCCTTTTAAAAACACACGACACTAAACAAACAACGGGATGGAAACATGCGATTCATTCGACATACCATTCAGCACACTTCATACATGGCCCTCGCCCACAAACTCCCCTTTCACCTTTACACAGGGATGACATCATCCCAACATTCTTGTTTCAATGCCCAAATTTGGCGCGTAAGTGGGCGGAACCACCCTTTCCTGCCCACGTGCCGGATTGGAGCGCTCCCAACACCGCTCCAAGCCAGCTCATAACTATTTACATTGTCCGGGGAACGACCAGTAATCGCTCTGCTTAGTGCATACCTGCATGTATTGAAGTCTTTCGGGGTATTGCACCTCAGATTCACGGGCTTGTCCCCTCCGTTTCAAACTTTCAACTTATGTAAAGGAGGTAACTACGGGATCTCTGGGGGCAAAATAATGTCGCATAATCATAATGATCGGCATGTGTGAAATAGACTACCGATCAATTTTCTGGCTTTTCATTCTATTTGTCACAGCAAGGAGTTTAAATACAACCTCCTTGGTCACAGCACTAGGTTTCGAGAAGGAATTTTGCGTAGTTGACTTGGGGGACGTACTACTACTAGTACTTGCCATCATAGACTCTATAAAAAAAGAATAAAATATCAAAATACAATGTAGTAAACAGTAAAGAGCCAGAAACAATTGCACATTTAGGCCTCCACTTGAATTGTTCAACAATGCAGATTGTTTCATCGCTTGGTTTGACTGTATGTGACACGTGGACGAAAAAAAAGTAACGAACGTGTGACTGTCCTTTTTTTGTACGGGCCTTGGCGAGGAGAGCGCCAAATCCTTACTAAGCTAGCCTCTACCAGACTTGGGGAGGCGGCTGTAAAGAGTAGAAATCGGCCAAATAGAGAGATAAGCATGCCAAGGGAGTTTGTGCGTTGAGAGAACATTTCACCGCACCAATGTTCTCTCAACGGACAAACTCCCTTGGCATGCTTATCTCTCTATTTGGCCGATTTCTACTCTTTCCAGCCGCCTCCCCAAGCCTGGTATCTAGAGGCTACCAAATCCTAACCACTAGATTCCCCGCATCCAGGCAGTCAGGGGTTTTCCTGTTTCTTCTCGCTTCTACTGTTTCAGTTTTGCTATTTTTCAGATTTGTTCATCAGTTAGTTAATAATGAGAGCCGTATCGTTCGTAAAATGATTTTAGATATTTCTTACATTATTCGGATCCGCCAGCGGCCTGCCGCTTAAACCTTTTTCCTTTTTCGCATAGAATATTTTACATAACATGGCGTAATTTCAGTCAAGAGTTCGTCAGAAGGATGACAGCTGAGACTGTCAATTTACTGGCGTAATTTCAGTATTCACCCTTTTGATGGTACAAAGTAATGAAGGTTAACAATCATGCAAATACTATCGTGTAAAATCTTTAAGCAGATGTTCGACGGGAATGTACTACTGACGATGTAAGTTCTGGCTGCTTATTCTGACTCAAAGTGCTAAACTGCACTTTAACGAGTCACTTTCATGATAGGAGTTTGCAGCCCTTCACTGGCCATCCAAAGTTCATTTTATGTATTATGTCAAACAACATGATAGAGTCAGTGAAAGGATGTGGCGGCTACACTTTGCGGCAGTAGTTAAAGCCTTGTTTGTGATAGGGAATTTGGTCATGATTAAACCTTCCTAAAACCTTCCTGATTAGATTAGCAAAATGGACCAATGACAGCATCGCTTTTCACTATTTTCATTGGGTGTTGCACCTGACGTCACAGCCTACCGATAGTTGCTTGAGTCAGCTCTCTATACCCTCTGTAGACTTAAATACATAATCTCATAGCTATATACTTATACTTACAAGTGACTTACTTCCAAATTCCGGGTTTAACCATCCAGTATGGCGGACAATCCTTACGGCATAGTCACGTGAGTGCAACACTCTATACCCAGGGGTACCCAGCCACCATAATTTATGGCGCCGATAAAAATGCACAAGCTTGGAAATGTAGGTCACATTGACATTCAGCGACGATGCACTGACTGTTGTTTTGTATTCAGTAAGTGTGCTCCGTGGGTTTGGGCGATAATTGATGCCTTTCAGTTCTCCGAGGCTATACAGCAGGTTCAGTGACGTATTAAATGTTGCCTGACATGTGATGAATGTTGTGTCGGCGCGGAGTGATACCTAGTGTTCGTTTGAATGTTGCCCTAACTGAGGGAGGTAGGGGGACCTGGAAGATGGGTCAAGGGCTGTTCGATGAATGAAACGTTGTTTTCTTTCTTTCTTTTTTTTTTTCAACAAAGCCATCCTCTGAATATCAAGTTGAACATTAGTGAAAGATTAGAAAAACAAGTCAATGCAGATAATTTAATGTTTATTGATATATCATAAGTTTCATGGCCGATGTATTTGTAACGTTATGTTGATCAAAATGGCTTACTTGTCGTTACACATTTTGAATTGTATCATGCGGTAAACATGATGTTCCTTTTGGTCCCATGTTACTTTGTTTTTAGTCTTGAAGCGTTTGATAGCTTTATTATAAAAACACAATATGCATCTATGGCACCATACCAAAACCTTACTTATTCGACTTTTTAGAAAAATTACGTTTTTGTTTATTTACTGTTGGGACTATTAAGTTGAGATGATAATAAGCCTTTAATTCATTTTCATCGTATCTATTATATTAGGGATAATGAAAACGTTTCGGGTGCTAATTTCAACGCGATTAGTATCTTAATTTGCACAATCTATTACCCTTTTTAGCTGTGATATGTAATTACGCAATATACCATATTTTAATTCCATCAGGGAATATGGGATCACTGTGGCTTGGTATGGAAGTTATAATTTCTTTACTAATTCATTCATATATCCGTCCATTGATTCAATTCTAATTCGTTGCTAATCTATAAAATTTCATGATTTGTCTATTTGCCTAATTTTGCTTCATGTGAATTCTAAATAACGGTTCTGGAAGCCTCGTTGACGTAATTTTGAAGCCACAGATGGTTACTATTTACCACGTACTTGCCCCTTTTTACGAGTGATTGAAAATTGCCACTTATTCCCACTCACCCGATGCAGAAGTGGCCTGTCCCTAAAATTATAACAGACCAACCTTGGGTATCCCATAATACTCTCTGGTGTCGGGTTTCCAAAAACCGGTTTACATCCGTCCCCGAAAGGAGCCCTCCGCCCCGCGGCGCCGTCCGTCCAGCCAGCCCGACCCGGTTCTACAACTTAGTACCGTGACATAACCCTATAGTCCTCCCCACGTAGTCATTTTGTATACAAGACAAATAGACAAGTACAGAAGCGAGAAGAAAACCAATCCTTAGGAAATTAGGCCATGTAGGATCTACTTTGCGGGACCCAACTCCAGGTGCTGACAGTCTTAGGTTGCTCCGCGCCCGTTGGCTCCAGATTCACCGAATATTTGGATATTTTCTGATAAACGTGGCGATTGTTGGAAAGCAAACAAGGAATACCGGGTTCAGGCCTTCAGGATTTTGTGCCACTGACTAAGGTATGACGGAAACTTCTTACGTATATGCCAAATGAGAGGTTTGTATGTGTGGAAAAAATAGTGGTAGGGACGGGTGGCGGGACGGCTGCACGGCATCCAACATGGCTTCACTGTGATGACCTCAAAACCTTCTCCCGACTGTGATCGCATCCCTCCCCTACCGACAGGACAAATCCTGGTACCCTGTCCTTGTTGACGTACCTTGGAAGTGAACCGTGCTAGCTTGTTGTCAAAGATTTCAGCCGACCTACCTCTTGGTGAGCCGGAATTTAGACTCAAACAGAAGCGTGTTTCCCGCTGTTTGCACTGGTGGGCCGCCGTTATGTTTCATGTTTTTATATCGTCTGCAATTGTTTCCCCTTTTCGGCGTGTAAATCCTTGCGAAAATAGACTTTTTACCTCATCATTGACTAACCTAGATACTCCATGATTGTGTCAGGAATATATTCTGACCAAAAAGGGGAGTTAAATTCGTTTGTAAGATCGATGTAAGGGGACAGACGTGCAGTGAAGGAATTCGGGTCAACTGAGAAACGATAGCCAGAAAATGGGCGGTGGTCAAAACGCTCAGGCACGTTTTTTGTCGGGACCGTTAGAATGAGACATGACCTAGTCCCATGTTCTGTACCACCAGTACCGTTTTATACCACATTAACAGACTAGAATTACTGGTTTACACCTTAACAAATAGATCTTGTATATTCTGTAACTTTGAAAGAGAGAGGGAGGGTGCGAATCACGCTTCCAACGATTCAATTAGGCGGCCCAAAATTTCATTCCCTTGTTCAGAAGGGAAATGCCAAGCGTGCATTTGCTTATGCTACTGTTTTACTGAACCGTGTTGTTATGGCCTTGATTTTGGCAGGAAAAGGTATCGAATTAGATTATGTGTGAAAGAAAGGTCTGTCTCACCTGGTTCAAAACATACCAGGTAATCGGACCCCGTGTTTTCAAACCTTGTCCGCGTGTGGGGGAGGGGGGCGGAAAACAAATAGGGTACTGTTTTGTGTGGACATTATTGTGGAGTAAGGGTGGGGTTGGTAGTACAAACTGCAACGGATGTCGGCTGTGTATGCTTGAGGGAAAAGAAGAAAGAATGGGTTAGCACACCCACGTAACTCTGCCTTGTTACAACTGAAAAGTCAGTCAGATAGGTCATTTCTGCAAGGCACTGTGAAATACATCAGCAGCTGCTTGGAATTATTCCCACCTCCCACCAGCATTTTTACTCATCACCAGACTGACCAGTCTGAAACAATTTGCTACCAGCTGATGCTGTTTTATAATTTGTTCAGCACAACTGTAGCAAAACAGGCTTGCCTTCAGGGCATGGGGAAGAGCTAGAGCACACAGACAGAGGGAATTTAAGATGAGATAGCCGGAATAACAACGACGCTGCCATCAGATAATTTCATTACCACCCATTAGTGTCAGCTATACTTAAATCCAATATCGGCTATTTCTAAAAGGTGGACTGCGACAAACCAAGCCTTGTTGTGATGGGAAATATAGTGCTTGTCTCCTGAGGCATTGTTCCTTTGAGAGGGATGTAAAAATAGAATGAGAAAGAAACAGTCTATAACAACAGGTTGTAGCATATTGTTTATCAAGAGCTTTAGTTCCAACAATTTAAACAACAGAGCAGTACATTGTTTTCATGCAAAGGCAGGGCATTAGCCCATACAAGGCGTCCAAACTGACAACAGTTTTTGCTTGTGTCAAGTACCTGTAAATCAAATTGTTTCGAAGAATATAAAAAGACAGCAAGACCTATGACATCTGTATTACGAGTTGCTAATGATGCAAATGCACAGTTTCATGGTTCGCTATAAGACCCTGTTCATACCAGACTTATATTTAGCGGTTTCAACCGGTTTTTCAAAAACCGGTTTTTATTTAACCTGGTGTGAACGCAAATTAACCGGTTTTTTAGGGGTTTAAATCCGATTTTGAAAAACCACCTCGGGAGGTGGTTTTTGAGGGGTTTTTGTGGGGTTTTTCCACCGAAAAACCTGGTCTGAACGCTAAGGGTTTATTGAACCGGTTTTTGCGTCATAATTCCGGGGTCACGGGGTCAGCATCCTGGCCGTGTGCGACCTGCAAGCTTTTTTGATCGCGCTGTTTTGACCAACTTGAGTTCGTTTCCACTGTTTTTCCACGGTTTTTCTTCATTTTGCGATGGAATCAGCAAACGCAACCTGGTCGGCGAACGGGACGCTCCTGATACTTAGGTTTAGAGAGCAGGAGTCGCCAAATTCGAAAAAGCTAGGGGGGGGGCGAGGGCTCTACCGAAACAAAAATGTTGGAGGAGGCTGATTTCTTGAAGATAAAGGATCAGTGCCGCACTAAGGTAAAAAAAAACAACTGAAGACGGCATACAAGCAAGAAGGCCAAGGACAACAATCAGAAGAGCGGGAGGAACGGTTAATCAAACTGCAGTCATGGCCGATTAATTGGATATTCACCGGACAGGATTTTTACAAAACCGGTTATCAAAAGTCTGGTATGAACGCTGAGGGTTTTAGTCGGGTTTTTGAAAAACCGGTTGAAACCGCTAAATATAAGTCTGGTATGAACAGGGTCATACTGTCTGTCACACTGGACTTTCCAGCCATTCACATCTATCGTAGGGCTCGAAATACTTTTTTTCTGCATACCTGCCGATAACATTGAAAAATACCTGTACCAGACAAGTTTTACCTGCACCTCTCACTCTCAGACTTTAACTTCAAGAATGGATAATACTAATGACTGCTCAAAAACCTTTACCATTATTTCTTTTATACGTCACTGTCAATCCAGTATTTTGAGCCCTGCCATCTGGAACCCATTTGTAGGGGCTAGGGGGTTCCCATTTGTTTCACGGGTACATGTATTGTACGTTTATTTACAGATGTCAGTTGCATCTCCGAAGAGAAAGAAACTTCAGACTCTCCAGCTTACAGCCAAACCTGGTGAACTGGCTGGGAACAACACCATTCTCAGGT